ATTTAGCAATATGCAATTAGGTGTCCTCCATATCTTTTCATGGCTTGAAAGCTGATTTTTTAAAAATTTAGTGCTGAATGATATTTCATTGTCTGGTTGTACTACAGTTTGTCCATTTACCTACTGAGAGACATCTTGGTTGCTTCTAAGTTTTGGCAATTATGAATAAAGCTGTTGTTAACACTCCTATGCAGCTTTTTTTGTGTGGACATATGTTTTCAGCTCCTTTGGTAAATAAATACCAAGGATTGCCATTGCTGGGTGGTGTCATAAGTCTATGTTTACGTTTGGAAGAAAGCACCAGTCTTCCAAAGTGGCTTTACCATTTTACACTCCCACCAACAATGAATGAGAATTCCTATTGCTCCATATCCTTGCTGGCATTTCCTCTGGATTTTAGCCATTTTAATACGTGTGTGTTTTAATATACATTTTCCTGGAGACATATAATATGACAGATCTTTGTATATGCTTATTTGCCATTGAATATGTCCTTTGGTGAGGTGTCTGTTAAGGTCTTTGGCCCATTTTTTAGTTGGGTTGTTTTCTTATTGTTGAGTTTTAATAATTCTTTATATGTTTTGGATAACAGTACTTTATCAGATATCTTTGGAATTATTTTCTCCTAGCCAGTGGCTTGCCTTTTCATCCTTTTGACAGTGTCTTTCTGTGTCTAGATTTATTTCTTTGCAAGTGGATAACCAGTTGTTCCAGCACTATTTAGCCTTTGCCCCTTTGTCAAAGATTAGTTGTCTATTTATGGGTCTATTTCTGGACTCCGTATTCTCTTCCATTGATCATTTTGCTTAGTCTTTAACTGATACCACACTGTATTCAATGATGTATTTGAAACACAATGCACTGGAAATACAACATACGCATTTGTACTACAGTGAACACTACCTATGTGAAATTCTGGATGTTGAAATTTTAACAGAGTCAAAATGGGTAAGTAGCAAATATTAACTGAATTTTAGAAAAGCCATTCATTCTTAGCTGGACAGGTTTTTTTGTATGTGGATGGAGTGTATGCCTATAGAAAGGACATTTTGTTATACATATGGTATAACTTTTTTCTAAACAATTATTTAGTTCATATGGTGAGTAATTGTCATCACAATAACTTCGATAGTGCTCACTATGTGCTGGTCACATTTAAGTACATCACACATTTCTCTCATTTAATCCTCACAACAACCTTATCAAGTTTGTATTAATGTTAATCACATTTGACAAATGAGGAACCTGAAGCACAGAGAGGTTAAATTCAAGGCAATACAGCTAGTGAGTGGTGTTGCCAGGATTCTAATTCAGATTCTCTGGCCCCACAATCTGCCTCTAATGACTACACTATCAATATTCTCTGGTGCCACCGTAGCAAATTTTACAACTACTGTTAAATACTTATTTTTAAGATTGTATATTCAACTATCTAAAATACTGTTAACAAGGTATAAAAGAGCCTCAGTTTTCATATTCTTGGATAAGAAGTGGCAGGGAATGGCAGTCATGATTTACTAATAACAATCATTAAATGAGAAATTTCAGGAGTAAATATACTCACTTAAGAATTAAATATTGACAGAAAGGTTTTTAACAGGAACATAGGTAAAATATTAGAAATTCATTTGTCTCCAAGTATTTAACTATGATGATCTGAATTTCAATAATAACTTTTTTTTGAGACTTTAGAAGGCATGCTTCTTTATACTAATTTATTATAAACTGAGAAATGATATGTGAATTGGAGAAAGAAAACTTTAAAAATTGTCTATGAATAAAGCCAAAATAGAAGGTTAAGATAGCATCGTATGAATGACTAGTTACATACTTTTAGTTTTTTGTGGTTAAAATTATCTTTATCTCTCATTCTTATTACCTAGATATAGTTAATATTTGCTTTTTTCTCTTATATTTAGTATTTGAGCTATGATTATAAAACAAAAAATCTCATACTTTTGTTAAAATAATTTTTCTGTATTTATTATTAAAGCATAATATCCCAAATAAGAGCTTTTTAAAGTTATAGGAAACAAATATAATATCATTAGAATTTTTACTTAATCCTGACCCATACATGACTCTCTGAAATAGAGTGACACATTTCCCCCAAATATATTAAGTGCTACTAACTTTGATAAACAAAATACTAAACACACTCAAGTGTTCTGGTTTGGTTGAAAAAAATGAAAATCATCTCTTTAAAATAGAAATGAACTACCTCTACCCCCAGCATGAGAACTTGACCCTGTAAACTATAAATATTGAGAAGAATGTGACTCTTTGTAATTTTCTTTTAATAAAGGGAAGTCTTGTGTAATGAATTTTCAACCTTTAAGTGGTAGAGGAAACAGCCCAGTCTGAAAAAGTGAATGTAAGAGTGAAATGTCTCTAAAATACTATGTAGTTTAATAATGATCATATTAATTTATTACTCTGTTGCATCTAATTGCAATGATTATATTTGTATACATAATAATTTTATTCTTTGAATAATTTTCTAAGGACAAATTTATAAGTATGTTATTTACAGGGCTTCTAAAACCATTTTTAATAACTTCCGGAATGTTTGAAAAAATTATTTACAAAGCTTTTAGTGTATAAGTATCTACTCATTATCAAAAGCTAGTAAGTTGTCTTAAAGTCCTAAAATTTCTTCCTTATTAACTTGAAATTTCCAAGTTGAGGTGAATTCTTGCCTTTCAACTTTAGCACCATTGTTCTTTTATGTGTTTAAGATATTTGAAGAACTATAAAAATCCTTTTATCACTCTTTTCTACATGTGGAGAACCAGATTTCTTTAATTTGTTAATAAATAATGCATTTCTGAGAAATATGAAAAACCTAGTCTGTTCTAAAATCATTTAATATGGTAAGTCCTTATAATATTTCTAGCTCTCTGAAAATTATTAAATGAGGTAAAAATCTACTTCTTTTCTTCTCAGCATTACTCACCAGAATAATTTAGTCTTTTCATAGATAGTAATGTCAGTGTTTCTTTGGTAATGACTATCTGAAGGAACTCTCTTGGAAATTAGAATAGGTGGTTTTTATTATATTTTATCAAACTCAGGTTGCAAGTCCCTGCATAGGACTCCAAAATACGCATTTTTTTGTTGTTTTTGAGTTAAAATGACTTTGTATATTAGTATTTTTTCTATGTTTTTTTGATTTGAACATTTATCTTTTGACATTGAGTAATTCTTGGTGGGACTAAAAATATGCTGAATAGGCAGTGAGGAGGCTAGATAAATGTTATTAATTTTTAATACCAAGGTGTTTTTAAAAGTAGAGACTTTTGAGAAATAGGAAATGCTAGCTGTTAAAATGCACAAGGTGAACATCTGAAAGAACTGCTGAATCATAATTGTAAAGCTGTTTGGCATATAGAGTAGGTGTTCCCTACTTAGAGGTTAACATGTGATCATCACCTTTTTATTGTACTTGAAACATATACATATATTTACTTTCCTCATAAATGTGCTTTTTTAATTTTAAGTTTATGGACTTAAGATACTTTTGTATAAGGCTGTATGCAATTCTTTTTTCTATGCAGTTTTTTGACATTTTCTTATTAATCCATTTTTCCAATATTATACAAGAAATGGGAACATTTTTGAAAAGATGAGGAAACCATATAGGAAATAAAAGATTAGTTACATACATTGAAAATATTTCTCTTAAATATCAAAAAAATATATAAAAAGCAGGCATCAAAATGGTATATAAATGATATGCTATAAAATTTGTTGATAAAAAAATACAAAACTACAATAACCATAAATATGCATAGGAAAAAAAGGATTAGAAGGAAATAACATTAACATTCAAAAAGGATTATCTAAAGTGGTATGATAGAGATGTTTTTATTTTAATCTTTTTTTCTTTCTGTTTTCCAAAATCTTTAACAATAATTGATATTTATAGTTAGGGATAATGTGTTTTTAAAAGAAAAGATGTTTCTCATATGACTACCTGGTAAATAGCTTTCCAGATTTTAAGCTGATCCAGTTGAAGTCTCGTAAGAAACCTGAGTATTTACTGTCTGTAACTGGATACTTTTCTCCTATCTTTTCTATAGCACCAAAGTTCCTTAGTGACCCTAGGAATGCAGGTGTCTCATTCTGTTTTAGTTGAAGAAACTAAAGTCAGAAATGAAAATTCCATAATTATTAGTTTGCCAGAACTATTAACTTTTGTATACTACAAAAAAGTATTTAAAAATCATTAGCTAAAATCATATTTTTTAAAAATTCTATTTAAGTCCTTTAACTTGTTTTAAAATATTGCTTTGAATGTTTATGATAAAGCATTTTTACAATGTGAAATTGGTGTATTGACTTCTTGATATTTTTGATTGATAGAGCCCAGGGTTTTTGAAAATGACACAAATTTTCTGAAAATTTTATTTTAAAGAAACCATATTTTAGTACTGTATATCTTACATTTGAATAACTTGAAATTGAAAACCTAAATAAGTTCATGGGTACTTTTATTTGTATAATGATATAGGATACTTAATAGCTATATTATTTTTGGTGCTTTTTACCTAGAATGGAGTTTAAAAAAATGTGTACTTATGACATTCTATGCTGAAATACTGTTTTCTTAATCTATTTGGCCTCTTAAAAAGGAAATTAAAATGGTAGAGCCAGAAGGAAAATGAATAGTTAATCCTGGAGGAGGAGAAAACCTAGCTCAGTACTTTGACTAGCGGCAGCTGGGGAAGTGACGTCCTGTAGCATTTGCTGTTCTAGAAAGTACAGAGACACGTAGTGAAAATGGGAGGATCTAGAAGGAGGCTGTCTCCTGTGTAGTGTATATTTATCTGTAAGTGAGCTGTTGGGGAAGGAATTAAATACGGAGAGGCTGTCTGCTTGCTGCCTTAAAACAGCGAAGCTGAATTGCTGATTTGCTTTAACTTTTAAAATACCCAGCTTGGTTTATTTTTCTTAGAATCGTATTGCTAAGACTGGGGACGCTGTTTTCTTTCACAAAGGGAAATCTAAGTTCATTTCAAGGCATTCGAAATGGGGAAAGACTATTATTCCATTTTGGGAATTGAAAAAGGAGCTTCAGATGAAGATATTAAAAAGGCTTACCGAAAACAAGCCCTCAAATTTCATCCGGACAAGAACAAATCTCCTCAGGCAGAGGAGAAATTTAAAGAGGTCGCAGAAGCTTATGAAGTATTGAGTGATCCTAAAAAGAGAGAAATATATGATCAGTTTGGGGAGGAAGGTAAGTATTCTGTGTATATTTTTCTGTCTCTCAAGCTGAATGTCTTTCTCCCTTTTTCTTCCTCTTTCAATCTTCTGGTTACCATTAAATTAAATTATTAGACATATCAAAAGTAGAAAGATAAATAATGTATAAAAACAAAATTTTACCTCTGATCATATAAATATTACATGACTGTGAATGAAATATACTTGTTTGCCTTTTTTAGATTTTGGCATTTTGCAATATCCATATTCTACCATTAGATTTATAATAGTAACATCGTATATTTGTAAAGAAACCTTAAATTCTCATACACATTAATGAATTGTGTCAAAAGTCTTATGCAACCTGTTTTATTTTTTAATGAATTTTCTGCCAGAACCAGTAAAGATCCTTCAGTCATTTAAAATCTTATGATTGCCGGTTCAAATACTAAGTAGTTTATATTTTATTCACAAAAACAATTTTTTTTTGCCTTTCCCATAGCAAAGCTAGTTTAGCCTGAACAAGAGAGTCGTCTCTCTGAGAAACAGAAGGCCTGGGCATTCAGCTCTAGTTGTTTTGGCATTCTGCCTGGAGAGGAAAGAATTTTCCTGATGTCATAAAATACCAGAACAAGTTTTTAGCTTAATTGTAAACAGTAATTGTGTGCCAAGAAAATGAGAATTCAGAAATACAATTTTTGACCTAAAATGGCCACTTAGCACAATTAATGATTTACTTTTAGGTGACATTATTTCTTTTGAAATTTTACTATCCCAGTTCAGAGGAGAGAATGACAACTTCCCTTTCCTCTCCCTGCTATACTTTTGTTTCTTGCATTGTGAGATCAGAAACTAGTTGAATAAAGTGAATGGGGTATTTAAGATTCTTTTATAACTTTGGATTTTAAATTAAATTTTTCTGTCATCTCCATGAAAATGCAGCTATAACATAAGTCTATTTTAAATTGCTAATGAACAACAACAAAAGTACTTTAATACCTACAACTTCTGGGGTTTTCCATTTTTAAAATCAGGACTAAGTTGTTTTATTATTTTTCCCCAAATGTTCTCTTTTAAATTATTGTAGTTATGAAAACCACTTTTATTATTTCTTTTCTTCTTTTATTGCATTTAATGTATAATTTTCCTAATTAGAAATATATCCTAAAATACAGTGAGACAGTGACTGCTCGTTTTGAGTTAAAAATTAAATTTAGATAAGCAGGTGAGTAAGTGTTGAGGATTTTTTTTTCCTTATTTTTCTTTTTGATCTGAGTTGCCAAAAATTGCAGTTTTTGCTGTTAGTTTTGGTGTGATGAGGACCTGCAGTATTAGGTTCTAATAAAGTAAACATTGAAAAAAGCAAGTAGTTGGCAGTTTAATCCTGCTTGCTCCTATTGCCATACTACTCAAAATGATATAGTTCATCTCAAAAGCTAAATAGGATTATCAGATACTACTAACAGTGTACTATTTTTGAAGAACTTATTTTTTGTAATTTTGTAAAGAAATCCACAAAATAAAGGGAATAAATGGTGATAGAGGGAGACTTGACTTGGGGTGGTAAACACACAATATAGTTGATGTATTATAGAATTGTACACATGAAACCTATATAATTTTATTATCTAATTTAGCCCCAATAAATGTAATTAAAAATAAAATCCACAAATATAAATTCCCATGGAAAAACAGATACCTCCTGCTTTAATTCATATCTCACTGATAGCTCAATTTTTTCTATGACTAAGCCATAAGACTTAGTGTTTACTGAGGATATTTGTCTTCAAAATTTTCAAGTCACCATATGGTACATTTTTCTTCATATAACATTACCTTCTGATAATATTTGTCTTGAGTGATATTTCTCCAGTTTGATTTTTACTGATTGTCATCAGTAAGTTTATTAAAAAAACCCAAAAACCAAAAGCAGGATCATCTATGTGCCCTGAATTTTTTTTGTTCTTTTTTTTTTTTAAGATTTTGTTTATTTTTAGAGAGAGGGGAAGGGAGAGAGAAGAGGAGGGAGAAAAACATCATTGTGTGATTGCCTCTCACTCGCCCCCATCTGGGGATCTGGCCTGCAATCCAGGCATGTGCCCTGACTGAGAATCGAACTGGCAACCTCTTGGTTTGCAGGCTGACACTCAATCCGCTGAGCCACACCAGCCAGGGCTTTTTTTGCTCTTGACTCAGATAATTTATATAAGCAATAGAAGTAATAATGAGGGGAGAATAAGTTTTTAAAGTTTTTAAATAATATTTTAAAAATTATTCAGAAGTATTTTCTAGTTATGATACTTGAAAATAGTTAAAGTAAAAATTACTGTATTTGAATCTTTTTTTTAGAAATTATTCTTTCTTTACAGAAAAACGTATTTGCCCTTTATTCAGAATGTCTCATAATTTTTTTTTAACTTCCTTTAGATACACTGTGAAAATGTGGGAAAATATTTTTCTTTTTGTCTTTCATGGATCTGTTCATGCCTGCAGGCCTGGTTCTATGGCCCAGTGGGTTTCTCTGACAGTAATAAACACTGAATTTTATGACTGCAACCATTACTAATTTATCTGATATACTTTTTAAAAATTATTACACTGTTTCAAGGTCTGATACAGTGGGAAGGAACCATGAACTGAGAAGTATATGAGTTGAATTTGCTAAATTACATATTTAGGAATTTAGAGAACTAGTGATCCAATTTATTGATGGTGTGAAACTCTCCAATATCCACAATTTTAGATGCTATATTTTTTAAAAGTTGGATAGAAATAGAGATGTTTTAAATTTACTATGTGACCCAGTAATTCCACTCCTAGGAATCTATAAAAGAGAAATGAAGATATAGGTCCACACAAAGACGTAGATGTGAATGTTCATAGCAGCATTATTTGTAATGATCTCCAACTGGAGATAAGTCAAAAGTATCATGATTTGGTGAATGAATAAACAAAATGTGATATATACTATGTATGTACTCCCTAACTCATGTGTGCACACACAGTGGAATATTACTTAGCAATTAAAAGGACCAATTTAATGAAATCTGCTACGTACATCTTGGAAGAAATTCAAAAACATTGCTAAATAAAAGAAGTCAGATGTAAAAGACTATATATAGTCTATGATTCCATTTATATGAAATATATGGAAAAGACAAATTTGTAAAGAAAGCATGTCAGTGGTTGCCTAGGGCTAGAGGTAGGAACAGGGATTAGCTATGAATAGAAGCTAGAGAACTCTTTGGGTTGATGGAAATGTTCTGTAACTATTGTGGTGATGCTCGCACAACTCTCCAACTTTACTAAAATCATCAAATTGTATATTTTCAATGAGTTAATTTTATGGTATGTAGTAAAATTTATTTTTAAAAAATAGGAAATTTTCCACATAGTAAAACCATTTGAAAACAAAAAACATAGATCTACAGAAATTTAAAATTTGATTTTGAACCAGTCTCTCCCCGAAAGTTTCAGGTTTAGTTCTGCATTGTTCAGTGGATGTCAACACAAGTTTGTATTAAAAGACTAAAAACAATTTTTAATAACACATCCTTATAGTATCCTAGTTCTTTAACATTTCTTTATGCCTTCTTTTTTTCATTTACTGTTTATGGTTTAATCAATAACTTTAAATACCAAAAGGTAGTATTTATATGATTAGACTTTTATTTAGTACGTTAATCTCTATACCCTCTTCTTTGATTTTTTTTAATCAACTGGATCTTTTTATTTACTATATATTTCTAAAAGTAAGTACATTGGATTTTTATGAATTAAAACTGTTTAAAGGATCTCATATTAGTGTCTCTAGGTCTTGCTATTAAACTGGATTTTTACATTAGATCTTCTTAATGTGAGGGTTATTTTAAAGTCTTACTATTTGTTCTTTGAAGTTTTAATTCTTCTCCAAAGCACCTTCTTTTGATAAACTTTTAGTCAACTAACTGGTGAAATTCTTTGTTGTGGGTAGTATCCCAAAGACCCATTTGTTTTTGGATTGTACATTGGTTGGTTGGTTGTATTTTAAATAACAGCAGTCTTTCTAAAGCATAAGCAAATGTTGATTGTAGAGTGCATTCCTTGATCACACAAAGTGATGCTGGTGTTTGGGAACATTTTGAATAGCAGAGGGAATCCAGTTGAATTTTAAAATTTTCCCTGAGCTGTTAAAAAGTACATAATAAAAGAGTTGACTGTGTAGTTGATGGCATGCCTACTACAATTCAAGTGCTCAGCAGTGTGATACTTGCATAATAGTTCATGTTATATTGTAGCAGTGTGAATTTTGGTTGAATTTTCTCAGTCGTTTTAGTAGCCTTGTCATTCATCTGAGCAATGTAGTTGACTAGTGTCAAGGAAAAACCTCAAGGCTTCATTGGAGGTTTTTTGTCAGCTTTGATACATGTCATTTTACATAGTATGTGAATCTTCTCAGGGACTCTAATCCTGATGGAGTGACTGTTTTTGGCAAGGGAGGAAAGGGATTTTAGGGGAAAGCCAAATCCATGTTTTTCTTTTTACGAGTTCATTATGGGTTCAAACATTTAGATTTTGTCTTGCAGAGGGTTAGATTGACAGCTAATTTACTCGTTTTACTTTCTTTTTTTAAAGATTTTATTTATTTATTTATTTATTTATTTATTTTTAGAGAGGGGAAAGGGAGGGAGAAAGACAGGGAGAGAAACATTAGTATGTGAGAGAAACATCTATTGCTTCTCTACATCGGCCAACTGGCCCACAACCCAGGCATGTACTCTGACTGGGGATCGAACTGGTGACCTTTCATTTCACAGGTTGGTGCTCTCAATCCACTGAGCCACACCAGCTAGGGATAAATTTACTTTGTTAACTTATAAATTATTATACTGAGTTATATTTGTGAAATGAAAGATGAAGTAATTTAATGGTTTTGTCACATTAGTTATGACTTTGAATTATATACATACCCTATCATTTAAAAAAATCTGTATTAGCTTTTATTTATTTTTTTAACATTTGGAGTTGTAAATTTACCTCTAAAATTTAATTAGAAGAAGTTTTTAATTAGTTGCATGTTAAAAGTTCTTGTCCTGTTTGTACTTACCATTCTCTTCCTATAAGGAATATCCCTAACTGCTATTTGGATATATTATTCAAAATATATTTTGACAATTTTCAGATTATTAGATTTCTCTCCAGATTATTCATGGATGAAGGTAAAAACTGAAAGACCAGCTAAGACTGTTGGAGGAAGTAGAGTACATGTATACTTTTTAATGGAAATACTAAAGTAGAATAAAACATGCAAAACTAAGCCCTGAGTGAGTCGAGTAGAATTTTTTATTATTAAATATCTCATACATGTATATGTATGATTATGCTTTATATTGCTTTGCTTCTGTCTCTTCTCTATTCTGACACTCAAGATACCTCTTAAAGTTTGTAATATGTAGGAGTATGTAGGAGATCTTAAGAATAGATTATTCCCTTTATTCAGTAAACATGTGTGCCTGTCATTTTCAGCCCTGTATGCAAGAACAATGCAAAAATGAATACAATATTTCCTGCCCTCAGGTTACTCGCTATTTGAACGTATTAGGATCTCTTAATCTCTGAATTTTTCAGTTATAATTTTTAGATTCTGTTCCTGCTTGTTTCTTTGGTCAGGAATACCCATATGGCTCATTCAGAAAGTTTATTGATACTGTAATGATATAAACCCTTGTCAGCATTGGTCCCTTAAAAGATCATTATATTATTGTTTTGTGGATTTTAGTAGAATCTTTCTTTGGTATGTATGGACATGATGATTCAAATATGTAATCTCTTGTAAGCTACATATTATTTAGTTGAGCCTTAGAGAACAGGGTCAGAGGGTCACTGACTTGTCTGGAGTGGGTTGTCCACAATAGACAGAAATAACCACTCCAAAAGCCTGATGTGTCAGGAAGGTTTACAATTCTTTATTCAGTCTTATATTTAAATGCTGTTCAAATTAATTTATCACACAGGATGCCTAGATGAACAATTTTATCTGGGATAGTGATAACAATATTAGTGTCTAAAAAACCATTTTTCATATTATTAGTAGTTTTCAGCCACAGAAAAAGTTTTGTTTTAATTCTTAAACAGTAAAAGATGATCTGAAGTCAAACTTGTTAGTATGAATATGGTATTTTGTATTGCTGATGGTTGTGGTCATTGATGATAATGGTACTTAAAGATTTAGGGTGTACATTTTGCATTGATTACTGAAGACCTTTCAATTGACATCTTTTAAAACCTTAAGTTTATACACTTCAGAGTGTCAAACCAGTAGCTCATGAGGTAAGGGTTTCTGAATTTTTATTTTCTTATTTATCTGTGTAGTGGAGAATCAGGAATAAATTATCATTAAAGATGGGTATTTGGAGGAAGAATTTGAAGCTAAAATTTTAACTTTGGATGGAACAATCAGGAGTTATGTAGCTGTTACATATTTAGTTATAAGGCACTTCTGGCTGGTATGAATAAATTACAACCCAAGTTGGCTAAAGTTTATTAGTAATACAATTTTTGAAAGATCGATACAATTTTTGCAAGTTTAACATTCAAGAGTTGCAAACTTTATTTCATGCTTATCTCTTCATTTAGGGTTGAAAGGAGGAGCAGGAGGTACTGATGGACAAGGAGGTACCTTCCGGTACACATTTCATGGAGATCCTCATGCCACATTTGCAGCATTTTTTGGAGGTTCCAACCCCTTTGAAATTTTCTTTGGAAGACGGATGGGTGGTGGTAGAGATTCTGAAGAAATGGAAGTAGATGGAGATCCTTTCAGTCCCTTTGGATTCAGCATGAATGGATATCCGAGAGACAGGAATTCTGTGGGCCCTTCCCGTCTCAAACAAGATCCTCCAGTTATTCATGAACTTAGAGTATCACTTGAAGAAATATATAGTGGTTGTACTAAACGGATGAAGATTTCTCGAAAAAGGTTAAACCCTGATGGAAGGAGTTATAGATCTGAGGACAAAATTCTTACTATTGAGATTAAAAAAGGTTGGAAAGAAGGCACCAAAATTACTTTTCCAAGGGAAGGAGATGAAACACCAACTAGTATTCCAGCAGACATTGTTTTTATTATTAAAGATAAAGATCACCCCAAATTTAAAAGGGATGGATCAAATATAATTTATACTGCTAAAATTAGTTTACGAGAGGTAAGAAGTAAAACTTAGCTTTCTAACACCAAACAATTATACATCTGATTCTAGGAAAGATAAACAACAGCTGAGATTTATGTAATGTTTATTACACATTTTTAAAAATTCTCATAAGAACCCTCTGGTAGTACTATTATATATCTTTTATGGATAAAATTATATATTCAAAGTTTAGTTATCTATCTTAACAATTTAAATGCCAATTTTAAGTGCTAACTGGATTATGTACTATGAGGCCTAATAATGACCTAACTCTACTCTGTTTTTACAAGTATGATTTATGAGATCTACAATACGTCCTCACCTTAATCCATGCATAAGATTTTTTTCCCCCAAAATTGTTAATTTGGAGTAATAATTATATACCAAAATTATGTTAAAATACAAAATAATTTAAAAAGGTATTGCTGTAATACATGAGTTCTTATTTGTTCTATTTTTAGGCATTATTTCTCAGATTATAATTCTGCAAACATGGCCATGTCATTTCCCTGCTTAAAATTCTTAAATGACTCCACATAGCATCTATCATAAAATCCAAACTCTTTAGCTTAACATAAAAGGTCATATTAAGTCTGGTTTCTACCCATTAATGTATATGCATTTCCTTAAGCTTGCTCTATCATTGTCTTATGTATGTCTATGTCATTGCCTGAGCTCTACTCTGTGGAACACTGTTGTTCCTCTTTCTGCCTCAATACCAACTGCTCGTCTAATGTTTAGGTTAAGCATTCTGTACTCCCAGAAGCTAAGAGGGTAAGTTGTGTGCCCCTTCTCTCACAAGAGACTTCTGTACATACCTCTGTGCCAACATTATACTGTATTATGATTACTAGTTTGCTTCTGTGTTCTTTGTGCATTCCTTGAGATGGGATCTGTGTTCATGGTCCCTACGTATGCAGAAATGTGTGACATATAGTAGGTATTCAGTAAACACTTGTTGACTAAAACAGTAAGTGTATTTCTTGTCCTAACGTTTTCCCTTCAGAGAAGTCGGTAGTTGCTCCTCGCCTGTTCTTTCCGGTCCTGATTTTTCTCCTCCTCCCATTCCATCCCTGCATCTTGAATGTTGTAATAAAAGCCTCAAACCATCCATTCCAATCCAGGGCAATGTGAAAGACATCTTTTACTTCTCTTTTTCTTTTGCTTTTTCTTTCCTTTCCCTTCTCCTTTTCTTTTTTTGTAACATGTCTGATTGTGCATGTCCTAATCTAATGGGAAAATAGTCTTATAATAATTGATATTCTTTTGGAGGTTAAAATTATGCCATAGTGGTACCATCTTTTACATCTGGTAATAGTATTGTTTAGACTTTTAAATTTTGAAGTTTGTTGATTTTATTTTGTGCATTTCAGGCACTGTGTGGCTGCTCAATTAATGTGCCAACAATGGATGGAAGAACCATACCTATGTCAATAAATGATATTGTGAAACCTGGAATGAGGAGAAGAATTATTGGATATGGGCTGCCATTTCCAAAAAATCCTGACCAACGTGGTGACCTTCTAATAGAATTTGAGGTGTCCTTTCCCGATTCTATATCCTCATCATCCAAAGAAGTACTTAGGAAACATCTTCCTGCCTCATAGAATGAAAAACTTTGTTACCCATATTTTGATAAGGCACTGAAAATATAAAAGGACTGACAGTTTACTGATGCAGATGTGAATTCTGTATAAAAACATGTAAATTATTTTGAGGGTTCATTAAATTGCATGAATAGAGACGGGTCAAATAAATAGGCAAAAGGGATTTTTACAGTTAGAGATGAGGAGAGACCATTCACTCTATTTTATTTCACTTCTTCAAAATCAGAAATTTTTAGTATTTTGCTTACATGTAAAATTTGTTTTTGTGGAGTTAGTAGATATATTTCTAATAAAATAGTAGACTATACAAGTACTTTATTTCTTATATCTTTATCAGTTTGGTAGGTTCTCATTTATAATGGAAATTTGAATTCTTAAACTATACATGTGATATGTGTTTCCAGAAAATAAAAACCCAAGTCATTTGGAAATGTGATTAACTAGATTTAAATCACTATCTGAAGTGCTGCTACAGGGCTGGTACCCATAAAAGAATATCCTCATGCATATGTTTCCCCATTTTGATTTTTAAAATATGCTGTAGCATTTGTTAATAACATAGTTGTAATATTCTCGAGGTGAACCTTTTCTCCATAAAAAGGAAATTAATGGCAATTTATCTCCTGTGGAAATCCCAATTGCCTGAGTTACTGACATTTTAGAAATAGGCTGTTTTTAAAATGCCATATGTAATTTTATGCAAGTTGACTATATATCTTGGACTTAATAAATTATAGGCACATTTTGTTGTCCACTAGTTTACACTAGTTTGTTTAATAATAAACATGTTTTTAGAGGAAATGTTGTTATTTGGAATTAATTTTCCAATTACACAGTCTTCTGTAACTTACTCATAATATGCTATATGTACCTTATGCAATTTCCCTAAAATGAATAAACTACCACAATGGCATTAAACCAAAATATGGGGAAAATAAACACTAACTGCTGCTTATGAATGATGTTGCTACTACTTGTTATGCATACAAATATTTTACTTTTTCATATGCATAGATTGCATTTCTTAGGTGTTTTAATTTTTAAATATATTTACATTTAAAAAATTGTTTTGTTTTCTGTTTTATAACTATAGTAAAAATGATGTTTTGAAACAATGATTGCCTCAAAAATAATTTTCACTATGATGCACATAGACATGCAAGGTGTACTGGATCCTATCATTCTTTAGCAGACTATGAAGTCTTTTAAAAATTCAATTAATAGGTTGCAATCACCATTTATTTTTAAGCTTTATTGAGATATAATTCACATGCCATAATGTTTACCATTTTATTTTTTATATTAAGCCATTTTTTAAAAATTTTAAGATTTTATTTATTTTTAGATGTCGGGGAGAGGGAGTAACATCAATGTGTTGTTGCCTCTCACACGCCCCCCACTGGGGACCTGGCCTGCAACCTAGGCCTGTGCCTTGACTGGGAATCGAACAGGCGACACTTCGGTTCAGAGGCTGGCACTCAGTCCACTGAACCATGCCAGCCAGGGCTTTTTATATTTACCCTTTTAAGTGTACAATTCAGTGTTTTTAGGATATTCAGAGGTATGCAACCATTCTCTAATTCTAGAACATTTTAATCACCCCCAAAAGAAATCCATAATCCGTTAGCACTCATTCCCTAGTCCTTTAGCCCCTGACAAATACTAATCTATCTCTGTCTCTATAAATTTGTCTATTCTGAACATTTCATGTAAATGGGAGCAAATGATATATGGCTTTTTTGTTGTTATTTGGCTTTTGTCACTTAGCATACATCTGTGTTGCATTATGTATCAGTATTTCTTTTCTATGGCTGATAATATCCCATTGTATGGTTATCATAATTTGCTTAACAACTCATTAGTTTATAGGCATTAGGTTACTTCTAATTTTTGGCTATTATCAATACTATGAATATTTCTGTACAGGTTTTTGCATACATTTCAGTTTATTGGGTCTATATCTAAAATAGAATTGCTGGGAATAATCATATATTTCAGTTTCATGAAAAATGCTTGAAAATGCCACAGAATTCAGCTAATCACATTTATTATTCCATCTTATTTATAAGTGATTTCTTTTCTCTGAATGACACACTTTTTAGGGAAGTATGAACATCATGGAAATAATCTCTCAGGTCTAAAGAGAGAGCTGAAAAGAAAGTCAATGTGCTGGGTGTGGCTTCTATTTTAAACCCACTGTCATTTATTGAAATTTTCTTAAGCATTTTCTACTAAATTAAAGGATTTATAGATTTTATAAATGAATAATCTTTGTATTAAAAAGTATTTTTAAGTATTTTTTAAAGTAAAGAATTAGTAGTAAAAAATAATTTGCACTGGTATATAAAAATAGCATACCAACATATTAAAGGATATTGATAATACCTTAGCAAGAGATGCCCTTGAATGTTGAATTAATAGAAAAGAGATGTAAAGTTTTCTTATTTATTTAAATTATGAAAGTACTGTTGATTTTAAAATGTTCTCTTTAAATTCAACCAGGTTCTTGGTTACCTGGAATAGTTTTGAAGTACTGTATATCCCAGCAAGCTAATTGATAAAAATGTTTATCTTTCTTTCTTTTTATTATTTATTTTTAGAGAGAGGAGAAGGGAGGGAGAAAGAGAGGGAGAGAAACATTGATTGGTTGCATTTTGCACACCCCAACCAGGGACCTGGCCCACAACCCAGGCATGTACCCTGACTGGGAATCACTGGTGACCTTTCAGTTTGCGGGATGGCACCCAACCCACTGAGCCACATCAGTCAGGGCTATCTTTCCTACAAGAAAACCACAAGTTGCTTGTGTTTGAGTTAGGATATTTTTAGGCTAACTGTGCGCTACTCTTTTATCACCAACCTATTCCACTCTCTATTGTATTACATAAAGCTACTTCACACATTTAGTTCATTTGCCTCACTGCCTCTGAAAGCATCTGAGTCTGTGACCCCTATTTTACTTTTTATCTTATCAATTCTGCCTGTTATTAGCTTTTCTTGGCAACAAGTTGAAAAAGCATTTTCTTGTTTATTTTTAAGAAACTATCATTTGACTAGTTATGATGTATAAAAAATTAATATATGTGATTGGACTCAGTAAATGGCATAGAAATGATACTCTATATATCAAGGATGATTTTTTAAAATTGAGGTGACATTGGTTAATAAAATTATATAGGTTTCAAGTGTACAGTTCTCTGATACATTATCTGTATATTGCATTGTGTACCCACCACTCAAAGTCAAATCTCTCGTCACCATATATTTGACCCTTTATCCTTTTACTGCCAAGCCCCCTTCCCTCTGGTAACCAACATACTGTTTTGTGTTTATGAGTTTTTGTTTGTTTATTTTTCTTGTTTGTTCATTTGTTGCTTTCAGTTTTAGATTCCATTGTATGTGAAATCATACGCTTATTGACTTTTTCTGTCTACCTTGTTTGGTTTACCATGATATTCTCAAAATTCATCTATGGACTATTTAGTTAACCTCACAGAGTTGAGGTTAAACTTTATCCTTAATCTAATTAACACAGTGTTTATCCAGTAATGTGTAATGTAGTGTACTGCCTGTATATCTGGATGTTTATATTTACATATTTCACCCCCTCTTTATGGAAAATTACAGAAAGTAAAGGTGACTTGTTACTTTTTAAATAATAGCTTAATCCATATTTATCTGAATAGATATTTTATAGGTTAAATATTTTAACCTTAAGGTTTTTTCTGTGATATTTTTAGTTCATAAAATTCATATATATGTTGGAGCTAGAAAGAATTTTAAAGATCACATTTTCTAAATAAGGAAGGAAATCCAGAGGGCCTAAGTGATTTACTTGCCTGTGGTTCAAGAGCAAGCTTATAAGAGGATTCTGAATCTCTTATTTGCAGTACCATTTTACACCAGTATTCCATGATGTCCCCTATTGCTAAATATCCAAGACAAGGTCAAATTCTGTTAAAGTGTGTTTGCCTATTTCTTCTTGTAGAAATTTAGTATTTTGTGTAACTTAGCATATTTAAAATATTTTGAGTCATTTATGAACATGTGAAATGTAAACATTTGATGTTGTTAACTGGAAAACTTTTGAAATATTAATTATAGGAACTGTCTGGAAACAGCTCAAATGCCCATCAGTAGATGAGTGGATAAAAAAGCTGTGGTACATTTACACAATGGAATGCTACCTGGCTGTAGAAAGAAAGGAATTCTTACCCTTTGTGACAGCATGGATGGACCTGGAGATTATTATGCTAAGTGAAATAAGCCAGTCAGAGAAAAACAAATACTATATAGTCTTACTTATATATGAAATCTAATGAACAAAGTAAACATGAACCAAACAGAAACAGGCATGGACACAGGGAACAGACTGACAGCTGTCAGATGAGGTGGGGAGGGGAGGACTGGATAAAAAAAGGTGAAGGAATTGGTCAAAGAACATACATGCATAACACAGAGACACAGACAACTGTTTCGACAGCCAGAAGGAAGGCGTGGCAGGGGATGGGTGGAGGCAAACAAAAACGGGGACATCTGTAATAGTTTCAACATAAAGGAAAAAACTTTTTTTAAAAGGAGGTAATGGTCTAAAATTAAAATGTATCCATCATTTAAAATGTATCCATTATTAATTTTAAAAAATGTACTCCAGTGTTACTTTCAAAATATTTTAGTCACATCTGAGCTTTTAGATAAACTATAAATTAGTATTTTTAAGTAAAAAAATACTACTATCCAAAATATGTGAAATGGTATAAGAAACCAAAGAGTGAGAGTGATATGAAAGGAGGGAGGGAGAGAGAGAAGAAAGAGAAGAAGAAAATCCTGCAGATTTTACTGAAAAATTTGTAATGCATAATAACAGAGCAGCTCTACAATAATTTGGAAATACAGTGAGTGATCAAACTAAATGTTGATTGGTACATCTTTGTAGCTTTTAGAATTCTAGTTTATGTAAATGTAGTTCTTGAGCCATTCTTACAGAGATAATTTTAAAAAGAGGAAACTGGAGTTTGGAAAAAGAAAAGGAGAGTGAAGGGCAGAGGAAAATAAGTTTTGGATGCAGCCATAAACATGAGAAATAAAATGAGATGCTAAGAATTTCACTCCTGTTTCTGTAAAAGGGAAGGCACTTAAATGAGTATTTAGAAATCTAGACAGGAAGTACCATAGTGACATTGTTATAATAGGAAGTGTGTATTGAAGAAGAGCTTGAGAAATAATTACGTATGTTTATCTGATAGGTTAAAAGTTGAACAATAGTTTTAAATTTATTGGGATCACATTTGTTCACAAAACCATATGTTTTAAGTGTACAACTCAATGAAGCATCATGTGTACACTGCATCGTGTGTCCATTGCCCTAAGCAAAGTCTCTTTCCTTTGCCCACATACACCTACCCCTACCACCTTTCCTTCTGGCTGTCATCACTTTGTTGTCTGTGACTTTGCGTTTTATATGTTTTTTTGCTTAATCCCTTCACATTCTTTCGGCCAGGTCCCCATCCCCACTCCCTTCTGACAGCTGGCAGTCTGTCCCCTGTGTCCATGCCTCTGTTTCTATTTTGTTTATCAGTTTATTTTGTTCATTAGATTCCACAGGTAAGTGGAATTCCACATAAGGTATTTGTCTTTCTCTGACTGGCTTATTTCACTTAGCATAAAAATCTCCAAATGCGTTCATGCTGTTGCAAAAGATAAGATTTCTCTCTCTCTGTCTCTCTCTCTATTTACAGCCAGTAGTGTTCCATTGTGTAAATGTACCATAGCTTTTTTATTCATTCATCTACTGATGGGTACTTGGGGTCTTTTCAGACCGTGGCTATTGCAAAAAATGCTGCAATGAACATAGGGTTGCATATATTCTTTCAAATTAATGTTTCAGCTTCATCAGGATACATTCCCAGAAGTGGGATTGCTGGGTCAAAAGGCAGTTCCATTTTTAGTTTTTTAAGGAAATCCCACACTGCTTTCCACAGTGGCTGCACCCGTCTGCATTCCCACCAACAGTGGACTAGGATCCCCTTTTCTCCACATCCTTGCCAGCACTTGCTATTTGTTGATATACTGATGATAGCCATTCTAACATTGTAAGGTGTGAGGTGATATCTCA